ATTATAAACAAATTTTGGTGGAGGCGCCGGGAAAATTCGAAAAAGGCTACAATTAAGCTATAATTTTGGTTTAATTGAAGTACATTCATGAATTTTTATCATTAAACTATATTTTCAGTATGTATCGCCATTAGTAATGCTCATTTATAAATTTTTACAATAAATTTAATTACTATTTGTAATGCAATGTCTAGACAACCCAACATACAGCAAATATTACTAATGTAGTAGTGTAACTACAAAGAAAACTAGAAAACGATCTATCGCATTGAAATAACTTATTTATATATATACCTATTCAAAAAGTACTTTGTAACAATTTCGGTTTGGCATTTTCAGTACGATAATGAAATTAAATTCATCAAGTTACACCTACCAGACGATAAAGCAGCAGCTTTTGCTAAGGCCTATCAGATTGATTGTTACTATGAGCGTAGGCAATTTTGGACGGAACAAAATCCAAACTCTTATTTAAGAAAATTTTTCCCTTTTCATGAAACATCTGTAGTAGTAAACGAACGTAATCCAATGTACCAGAAGTCGACGTAAGTGGAATATCAAAACTAAACTTACCATAAGTACTAGTAATTTTAACACACAGTTAAAGGACCTGTATCTACACTTGGTCTAGGTCTATCTTTACTCCTCTTAACTCCTGTTTCTGCTTCTAATCTCTCGCAGTTTCGCATTACTTAGCAATTACTGACTTAGAATAAACCTCAAGAAATAATAAAAATTATAATAAAATTGTTGATTACAAACAATAATAAACTATCACTATCAATTCATAAAACATTTTAGATTTGAGCTAAACAAATCTCCAACAAGTATTACATATTCTGAGGTCAGTTACGTTTTGTACAAATTACTGAACGAAACGCATTTTGGAGACAAGCAGTTTGAGTTTGGAGTGGACAGACTGTTGAATAAAAAGATTGCATTAAGTATTTATTCCTTACACGAAGGACAATGGCAATGGACTGTTGAAGGAGGCGTTAGTTCGCGACAAGTAAGATAAAAAGAAATGTATGTGTTGCGGGGCTCGTGTTGTCTATTGGGGGAGTGGGGGCAAATATATGCAGATATGTTTATTTGAAACACTTGCATTTAAAATGTAAATACAAAATAAAAAATACCTATTTTTATCATGTATTTAAATTCTTTTTTGAGAAAACGGGGATCGTGGCCCCTTTCCCTCTACTTCCCTACGCTACATGAACTTTGGTCTTGTGTTGAGTAGTGACAAGCACTGTCAAGAGCGTAATTTGAATAAATAATTTAACCAAGAAGACTCACCCCAAATACTACGGCACTTTGGAGAAATAATGGCAGTTATGGGACGCATATGTCCTATTACAGTCATCATCATCATAGGGTCGTCAGTCCTAAGACTGGGTGGACACCTACCTCCACTCTTTCCTATCTTGAGCTAAACTTCTCATTTCGGTAAAACTAGAACAGCCCACATCCTTAACTATTTGCGAACAGTAATCTAATCTAGGTCCACCTCTACCCCTCCTAACTCCTGTTTCTGCCTCTAATATGTCTCTGACTAACCAACCTATCTCGCCTATTTTTTATTGACTTCCATAGAGTCCTCTGTTCTATTCTTTCCAATACCTCTTCATTTCTAACCTTTTCTATCCACGTTATCCTCATCATTCGCCTATAATACTACATTTCGAAGGCTTCTAACCTTTTCATAACAACCTTTTTCGAATTTCTAAATTAACCGTTCGCGAGCATAGAAGTGACTTCTTTCAGCCATTTCTTCTATTTTTTCGTCTCCTATCTTTATATTCGCCCTTTCCCTACTTTTTCTTCCCTTGCATACCAGTATTTTAGTTTTACTTTTATTTATTTTCATACAGTACTGATCTGTCAGTACCGCTTCCATTTTATTTAAAGCTATCTCTAGGTCCTCCTTGCTAGATGCTGATACTGCTATATCATCTGCGAATCTAAGTATGCTAATTTTTTGCCCCTGTATATCTATCCCTACAGTTGTACTGTCTTTAATGATGTTGATCGCGTCTTCGATGTATAGATTAAAAAGTAGCGGTGACAGTGTTCATCCCTATCTGACTTCCTTCCTAATATTTACTTCTCTACGTTGCATTCCTTATTACAGTGGAATTCGTTTATTATGACTCCGCCTATATTGACCAAGTTTGGTTTTCATATTAAATTCTCTATAGGAAAGTTTGGATATAATGACTCCGTTTAAAATGACATATCGTTTATTATGACTGATTCTCAAGTAATCATATCCGGCTATAGTGACCCAAATGATTAATAATTACATTTTCGCTCATTTTTCTGACCCTTCTTATGTATATTGATATTACAATTCATCGTTCTTTTTCTTTTTCTGTTAATAAATATATACAATTTGTAGTTTTTCTCTCTATTAAACTAAATAACTAACCAAAACAGAATGTTGTTTATTTTCTAAGACTACGCTTTGTATGATGCCCGCTTAGTATGAAGTGTTTGTCATTTTCCTTCGATGTCATTATAAGCGGATTGTACTGTATAAATTTACCATAGGTACGTGTTTGTTGAAAAACTTATTAATCTAGATCTAGCTACTATAATCATTCCAGTTTTTGACTATGACATTGAACGTATTTATGTTTTCCCTATCCCTTTAGAATTTGCCTCGCTTTCAACCCCTTTTGTAGCTTGTTAGTTTAGACCATTGCTTAGTATTGACATAAATTCGTATGCCCTCGTCTGTGATTCCCTTGGATCACTCAGGCAAGTGTTAGGAGTGATATTTGGGGGTGACTCTTTTTGGTTTGATTATTATTTATTATGAGGTACTGTTTTAAAATTGACTGCATCAAATTTTCAAATGTTTTCTAGATTTTGGCAAAATATTGGTCAAATTCAAAAATGTGCTACAAACAGCAGCCCATGAATTCGGTAACGAGATATTTTGGCACTGAAGTGGCCCATTTTTTCGGCTTGCTTGGATTTTACATTAAGATGGTATTCCCTTTGGCGATAGCCGGTATTCTCTGTGTAATTTGGGGCGTCTCGTCGATCAATACGATTGAAAATCAAGCCAGGTTTTTCCGAATCAATTACAATTTAAACGATTGCGTTATTTTAATATTGATGAGCGAATTGTTTTAGTTTGGATGTTTGCAAAAGTGACATAGTGTTGTGTCCCAGGTGTGACAACAATAAGTGCAGATACAAATGGCTCCATTCTGCGTGCTTTAATATGCATCTAACGTATCTGGTTGATAATGCTGGAAGCTTTGTTTATGGATTATTTGTACTCTTTTGGGGTAAATAAATAATCAAAGAAGAAATTCTTATTTTCCAAAGTACAGTGTAAACTCTATATAACGACACTTAAGGGACTGAACATTTTTCGGCGTTATAAAGAGTGGTCGTTAAATGGAGAGAAATAAAAGATATTATTTTACTATTCTACAATAATATGCATTTACCAATATAGTACACATTTTGCACACGAACATTATTATTCATACATTGCGTATAGCCTGTTATCTTCGTCTGATGTTTTTTGCTGCTCCAATATTTTAAATGTATTTTGTTACGTATCTTACTCATATCTTGAGATACTGCTGGATCAACTTGATCAAATAGATGAAATCTTATTCATCAATCCCAATTCCAATTCTACATCCATTTTGAATACATACAATATCCAGTAATGCAACATGTTTACTGTTTGCATATCATCATCATGGGGTCGTCAGTCTTAAAACTGGTTGGACACGCACCTCCACTCTTTTCTATCCTGAACTAATCTTCGTATTTCCCTAAAACTAGAACACCCCACAATCCTTAACTATTTTTCAAATGCAGTCTAAACGAGGTATACTTCCACTTCCCGTAACTCCTTGTAATATGTTTCTAACTAGCCCTTCATGTCTGAGATACCAACCTATCTCGCCTATTTCTTATTTAGTTCCATAAGACCCTCTGTGCTCCTACTCTTTCTAGACCACATTTGGAACGCTTCTAACCATTTCTTTTCCGTCGCGCCTTTCGTCCACGTTTCGCACCCGTACAGAACCGTGCTTTAGACATAAACCATTAACAATCTTGACAAAACTAACTGAATATCTCAACTGCTCCGTCCATCCTGAATTATCTGACTTCCTAAATACCGAAAATCAACCGACTTCTTCTAATTTTCGTTTCCTATCTTTCTATATACAGTGTCCTATCTTTATATTCGCCCTTTCCCTACTTTTTCTTTCCTTGCATACCAGTATTTTTGTATTACTTTTATTTATTTTCATACAATA